TTTGTTTGTCATTTATGTACAGTAACTTTAGTTTTTTTTTTTAAATTTTTACTGTCTAAAAATATAAAAATATTAATTAAAATTAATAAAAATATGAAAGAAAATAAATTATAAAATATAAATCTATATTTTTAAATGATAAGATAGTGCGTAAAAACTAAAAAGACGTCCGATGAATGAAAGGAGTAAAATAATTGCAAAACAAAACTTAGAGATATAGCCAAAGGACCTACCTTCTTACCAAGTTCGGAGATTTCATAATTTCAATGGATTTTAAGCACATATTCAACAAGGATCGCCTATGCTTGGACACAACACTGTTCTTTCATTAGATAACAAATTCGAATATGATTTTGTTTAGCCAGCTGAGGGTGTGCCTTGACAAGTTACACAAATTACAAACTTGAGGGTGTCTCAAGAAAACAGTACCCCATACTTATCTGAGGGAGCAGAGTCTTTGTTCCCCAAGAATTAAGCATGCTACTGTTCGAGAATAAAAGAATATCACAAGTAGGAATACATTCAAACTCAAACTGATCACACAAAAGCATGGCACGGTTGTTTTGCATTCAAAGTCGGGATAGATCAGGCTTTAGAGTTGAAAGCTGATCCATACATTATTATTGTTGGATGTTGAATCATCTGGGAAGGCTTTTTGAAGGGAAATTGCGCAGTGGATTTTCCCTCAGTAGCTCTGTTTCCCTGCACCGTGATTACACAACAGAAATGAGAAAACCTTTATTAAAAATAATGGTAACATAAAAGTGCTTGAAAGGTAATTAGTCCATTACTTTTTTATGTTCTTGCCATCCATCTCTCTGAGCTGCAGACTTGATGTTCTACCACTCTCAGTCTCAGTACCTGTTTTAGACCTTCTGTTCAAAATTTTGATAACAAATTAATAAAAAATAGATAGGAAAGAAAACAGACGACAGTATGTTAATGATTAATGAATGAACATATCAGAAAAATGCTAGGGTTTCTAACTACTAGCAAAAACCTTATATTATCCAAAAAAAAGAGACGAAAAGTAGATACATACTATTCTTTGTTTTGAAATAAAAAAGGCCTGACTACTTCCTATGAATCATATAAACAAAAACCATAACTGTTGAATGCATTTTGCTACTCACTCTGAACATTCCTCATCAACAAACACCTGAATACAGGCACCTTGGGTGGTGGACCCTCCAGCTCTAGGCCCAGGTCTCTGTGGAACCTGCAATAAGTAATGTTTGACTTAAATGTCCTTTATTTTATGACTATTCTTTAGTCAAACTATAAAAACAAGCTAAATTTGAAAAACTTCCTTAACAAACTAGGAATAGCTAAGTCTTAATATTGATAATGTTCTATTAAACTAAGGGATAAATGACGAATATGTATTCCTTGCATTTTTTAAGAAATAGATATTCCTTGAATATTTGCTAATGTAAAGGGAAAATTAGACATCATGGCTTAGCTATTCCTAGCTACCTATGGAAGTTTCTCAATTTTGGTTTGTGTTATCTTATGGAGAAGGGGAAAGTGGGGAACCTTGTATGAAGTCCACTTGGCAGGTATCGAATTGTTTTCTTTGTTCCTTTCAGCTCTAGTTCCAAGAGTTTGCCAAGGGTTGAAGTTAGTCTTCAGCTTTGAATTCTGACCAATCGTATCAACATTTCTATCATTATAAACAGAGAGTGGAGCACGCTGGACTCTGGAAAGCAAAACCAGAAAAAGAGTAAGTTCCATATAAATACTACAAGAGCGAATATTTCTAATGAATCATTTAAGATTAGAAATGCTTTAAAAATTGAGATCTTAAGAATAGTAAAAATGTAACAAAATTTTTGTAAATCAAAATCAAGATTCTAAATGTCATTTCTATTTTTGATTCAATGATTTCCTTTCACTTACTGCTCTGGCTTCAATAGCTTTTTGGCAAGATTAGAATTCTCAGTTGTCTGCCTTCCTGCAAAAATAGAGAGATCTTATAAATAAATTTTAAAAGGATAAAGAGATGCCAAAGAAAAAAATTCTCAGTCCAGAAGCTTACGATTCTCTTCTCCAGCTAAGACAGTTCCAAAACTTCTGACTGATGCATTATTATTTTCCATTGAATCTTCATTCTGTTTGGAAACATTAAAGATGAAAAGAAAGGAAGAATGACTATGCCGAGAAACTCTGGAGTCCAAAAAAAAAAAAAAAGAAACTATCAACTAAAAGTTTGCATACATTATTAGCATTTTGCATTTTCATTGAGCGCAGAAGAAATTTCTTGTAGGCATCCCTTAACTTTTCAATTGGTTGAGCGCTCCTAGAAATGTGAAAGCTTTGTTAAAGAAACATGTTCAACCAGCATACCCTTTGTAAAAGAAAGAACAAGATTCTTAGCAAACAGTAACAGTTAATTAAATTTTGGGGATTACTGAATTAGGGGTTAGAATGTTGAACCAGCATAAATTGTCTTTAGTTAATCAATAAAACATTAACAAGTAGAAGGTTCAACTTGTAGGCACTTCCATTGTTTTTATCAGCCCAATTGTGATTATATGAGACAAATTTCAAACAAGCTTAGTTGAATCTACAGAACTAATTACCTAGATATTCCAAGATTTAATATCTCATTTGCGGCTTTCATCTTGGATTTGGATTCAAGGTGCAGAGCATATGCTATGTAGTACGCTGCATGCGTCTTCCCAATATCATTTGCATCAAGAAAAGTGTATATTATTTGAGCATCAATACAATTGTCAGCCTGCAACAGCATTTTGATTTTTTATTCTCAATTAAGTTAAGACCTAATTAATATCAAAAGCACAAAGAATGAAAACAGATGTGCGAATAAAAAAACCCACATATTCAAGCCACACTTTGAGGTAGCGAAAATCATCCTTATAACGGTCTGAATGCCAAAATGTTCGAACACATTGTTCATATATGAGCACTAGACCTGAGGAATCTCCGGCAGAAGGAAATGCCTCTTGAATCCATTTAACACACCTTTTTAACAGTGAGAATGAAAAACAAGAAGGCAATTTAGCACAGAAAGATGGTAACTTACATATGTAAAAACATAAACAGATGAGAATCAGAAGGGAAAAAATTGTTACTGAATCCAAGGGTGGAGAGGATCATCCCCTTGGTACTCATCGATCGCCTCAATGAGTCTCCTATATTACACATACCCAAGAAAGGATCAGATTTCGGAAAGAAATTAAAATGGCAAAAATCATGATAAACAGAAAGAAAGGAGAAAAGATGGAAACCTTCGCTCCTCAAGTAAAGATTTCTTAAGCTGATTTTGGGTGTGCGCTTTTAGGGCATCGTTTAGGACACTAACATTGCGACCCCTCTTCAATGGCCTGACGTTTTCCTTGAAGAGTTCCCACTCGTTACCTGTCTCCCGTTTCGACGCAAGAAACTCCGTCTCCGGATCTAAAACCTGCACCTCAACATCTTCCATGGCTGCTAATTCCCGTTGCAGGAAGAGAGAGAGAAAGACAATATTTTTCAGAATTCAAATTTTGAACCAGGGCTCTCGGCCTCCGACATCAAGTGTCCGTTAAGAAGAGGGCACCAACGGGAACTTCACTAGTTTTGAGGCTGGGCCTTGTGTAATATGATGGGTTGGCCCAGTAGTAATGGGCCTTATGTAATATCATCTGGCGTACCGGAAAAAAACAATGCATACCTACCTACCTCAATGCCTCCAGCAGCTTATCCGAACTTTCCTGTAGCTTCCGATTCTTTACAAAGAAAGTTTGTTTGGATAATTTCTGTTTCACATGAAAAGACAATACAGCTACCATCATCCTTCAATTCTCTCGGTTTCCATTTTTCATCGCCGATCGCTTTCTGTAGATTCCTGATCTCGATCGCTTCCGGCTCTGGAAATCCAATCCAATCGGTGGCAGTTGAAGAATGGCATCGAAATCGACCGCGGCAGCTGGCGTTATTTTGGGGATGGTAGTCGGACAGAAACCGCTGATCCGTTCGGGAGCAAAGGCAAGGGCGTGGATCGCCGTTCCAAACAAACGGATGAGGGTAAAAGCAATGGGAATGGCAAAGTACAAAGGGACGGTGATGAAGGAGAAGCAACTGGAGGAGATGATAGAAAAGAAGGTGATGGAAGCGAGAGAGGTCTGCGAGGGGAACGAGGTCTCAGACGAGTGTAAGGTGGCGTGGGACGAAGTGGAAGAGCTAAGCCAGGCAAAGGCAGATCTGAGGACGAAACTGGAGAAGCAGGATCCTTTGGAGTTCTACTGTCAGGAGAATCCTGAGACCGACGAGTGTCGCGTGTATGAAGATTGATCGCTGACTGTTTGGTATGCTTGCTTGGTTTAGTATGATGATAGAAGAACAAAGTAGAGTAGAACTGTAGAAGTAAAATTGAGTTGTTTGTGTTGTGGCTTTGATGAATGTGAGATTAATTATTATGGTTTGGATGAATCAGAATGAACATTATTACTTACCGTGTTAATATGTACAACAATCTGAATAATCTTCCAGAACAGAATATACTGCAGTAACAAAAACCAATCCTCAGCAAAGTGCAAAATTTTCCAGCTTCTCCCAATTGCCAGTCCCTAGGTGACACCAACTTTCTTTCTTCTTGGCCTGGTAAACTCCAAGCGAAACTATAACAGTAATGCATGAAACTTGGAATCCTCTACTTCCACTACCATAAAACAAGTTGTAAAAATAGAACAATGAAAAAAACAAAAAAATCAGTAATGAATGATGATGCTACCTAAAGAGATC